GGTTCTTCGACAGAGAATGTCGAATGGTGTAGAGCTCTAAGATTAGCTTCTGCTTTTTTTAGAGATGGAGAGCAGGTGGTGCATTTAGCCTTTATAAAGCCCAACCTCCTACAGTCATAGGAACTAACAGCTGGTCAATCTTCATTTTCTGCATTATCTCTTGATGAGGCATTTTTAGTACGTTGAGGATTACCTCTATAATTTTGGAGACCACCTTGTTGAAATTTTAGAGGTTCCTTACTGATGTTTTTTTTATTTTGTACATGTCTAACTTCTTCATACAGATCTAATTTGTCTGCAAGCTAAAGTGGATTGTTCCATTCACTCCAGTGATCCAGAAAAGATAAGTGTTCCTTATAAATCGGAGGGACTATTGATCTTAATTTGATCTGCCAGAATCAAATTAACTGCTCAAACATTGTGACTTTTGATTCTTCAGACTACCCATTGAAATAGTCAAATGTTTGTGTTTGTTCCCCAGGTGTTTTCTCCTATATTGGGTAAACAGTTGTGAAATTCCTCATCTCTCAATTTGAAATGTTTTAATAGAATTTATTTTAACTTCCTCATAATCCTGAGCATCAACAGAAGATTCCTTTGCAATTAATTTTACAACTTCAGTTGACAGAAGACCAACAAGACAGGGTGCCCATTTTAAAATTGGTTCCTTCAGAAGGATTAATTTGCTTCTCAAACAAGCCCAGAAATAAACTCATATCAGCTGTTATAAGATCAAAATTAGGAACTAACTTATTCAGCATTAGGAACAACTTATGCATTTCTTCATCTACAGAAAAAGATTTTATAACTATTCGCAATACTCATATTATTAAAGAAATAAAATTAAGATTTTATATATATGCTAGGCATTTCTTTAGAATAACAGAAATCAAATCTGAAAATTCTAAAATGAAGAGGAAAATTATTCTTCAAAGGTACATTGTTGAAACTTTAATAATTTGGGAGATGAAGTAGACACTAGTGGGAACATTGATTTATTTATTGAAACAAACAGTTTTAGAATAATGCTACAGCTAAAATATCTGGAAAATTTCAAATTTAAAAGACGCATAAAGGTTTTGTTGTTTATTTTATTTTTTTTTTTTTTTCTTTCTCTAACACTCGACAAATGATCTTTAACCTTCCAGCACGCTCATCATGCACAAAGTTTACGACAAATTCGGTTTTTAATGCACATTTTTCCCATTTTGCAGCTGAGACGTTTGAAGGTCATTCCTATTCTTCCTTTCTACCCTTCCTTATATCGTGGAATTTTGTGCTGTGTGGCAGCTTCTTCATAAAAGTTAAGACATGCACACGGTCATGGGTGAAAATTGTAAAAAAATATTTTTTCTCGATTATTTCGTTATTTTGTTCTATTAATTGATGTGTATTATTTTAATTTGTATAAATTGAACTATAATTTTTTAATCGGTTTTCATGGCAAAAAAATATGTGCCACCAGTTGATTTTGCTCACATTCTTCAAGAATTATCTGATGACGAAAAAGAAGACAAGGAAACCTTTGTATGTGAGAACAGTAGCGATTTGAGTATGGAAAATAGAGATAAATAATGTCAGCAATAAATCTGAACAGTATATTTCAGATGATGATAATGGTATAGAAAAAAGGAATGATGATGATATGGTCTGTATTGGTAAGAAGAATAAATCTTCTAAGTAATGAAAACAGTATGCAAACTGCTCAAAGAAAATGAATATTATGGAAGTGTTACCAGGCCTAAAACACCATGCCAAGGATATAGAGGATAGAATAAGATCATTTTTTAAAATAATTGATATAAATATGCTTGATGAAATTTTGGAATGTACAAATAAATGTGTAAGTTTGCTAAAAGACAAATACTCAAGACACTGCACTGTTACATCAAGAGTGGAAATGATGGCATACTTTGAATTGTTATATGTGATATGAATTTAAAAAAAGGACACCATGTAAATGTAAAAGAATTGTTTTTAAGTTATGGCACTGGAATTGAAATAACCAGAGGTGTAATGAGCTGCAAGAGACTTTTATTTTTGACAAATTGTCGTCTATTCAGTGATAAATCAATAAGACAGGACAGACGTAAAATGGACAAATTGGCAGCTATCCGGAGCAATGATTACATATTTCTAAAAAAATGTAATCATTGCTACACTTTGGGCAAATTCGTCACTGTTGGTGAGAAGCGTCCTTTTCAAGGTCACTGTCAATGAATTCAATTCATGCCTATTAAACCATCGAAGTATGGGATAATACTTTGTGCGATTGAATATCATTTTATATACCTGGCCTCAACATTTACTGTGGAGCAACACCTAGTGGTTGTTATGCTGTTTCAAACAGTCCTATAGATGTTGTGAAGAGGTTGGTCTCTCCTTTCGAAAACTTGTAAGGATCTTAAGTTTTACTAACATTAATTTTATTTTAAAACTTTACTGTCCTCTCTTATTATCCACTTCCGGCCAAAATAAAACATGCGAATATGTTTATGCAAATTGTACTTGCTACGCTTAAGTATTTAAGTTGTGGCTGTTCGCCAAGAACAGAGTTAGCTGGGGAGGGAAAGAAAGCCTCCTTGCCACTGTATTCCTCGCGAGCTTTCAATCAGTTGCTGTCCGCCTTTAAGGCCAGAGGTTTAGTCCTCTCAGTATTAAAGATGTGTTGTAGTTTTCCTCAGTTTGCATACTATATACATAATAATTTAAAAGGCCAGTCTTAGTGTTAGTCATCTGTGTAAGGTGTTCAAAATTTAGCTCGTATTTAAATTTAGTTATAATCTTATGAAAGAGCATCTTCTTTCTTGTGCCAAAATCCAAACATTACCTTCTGACAATTCAACATTTCTAAGTTGTAATTATGCTGCTTCTAATGATGAAGTGCCAAAGCAATCCTCATCGAAATGAAAAACATGCGGTTAGTGTGGCAAAAAAGAGATCATCCACATCTATGAAATGCAAGACATGCATTAGATACACGTTTTAACGTCATTCTGTTACCGAAATTATTTGCATTGAATGCAGTGTGAACTTCGAACATTGAGAAATATCTTTAGAATTCTCTTTTTCTATTATTACTCTGTTCCATTTCTATAATTACCATTCTTTATTTTTTATTTCTATTTTTTAGAAATAAATTAAAATATCTTAAAAATTGACAATCTTTTTAGAAATAATAAATAATACAGTCAAAAGTCGTTAATTCGGACACCCATAATCCGGAATGATCTATAATCCGGACCTCAAAGCTACAAACTTTCTGCGCATGCGTCGCGTTCACGCATGCGCACAGGCGTTGACGAGAGCGCGTAAGACCCTTACGGCTGCGAATATGTTTGTGCGCATGCGCGTCTAAATTGTAACGGAGTTATACGCTAAGCTAAAGTTATCTAATTCAGTTAATGTTACCGATTGCGTTGTTCCTTAATCTTCGAATTGGATCCGGCTTATTATTTTTTGCAGACTGTTAGAGCAATTTTATAAAAGTAAGCTTGAACTTTCAATTATGTCAAATAGAATTTCCGATATATATTTACTACAAAGCGAAAGTATGTTTTGAAATCCGAACTCTGTTTATCAATTTCACGCTGCTCTGCGGCAGAGGGGGGGGCAGAAACGTCATTATTAGATTATGATAGATTAGAAAGATTATGTCAAATAGAATTTCCTATATATATTTACTAATATGTAATTTGTATCTACAAAGCGAAAGTATGTTTTGAGATCCGAAATCTGTTTATCAATTTCAGGCCGCTGATTGGAAGTTGATCTGTCAGCACTATCCTTATTTTCAGGGCAGATGTTTTTATTTTATTTAGTTTATAATTCCATACTAAGTGTAGTATTTCATTCTGTCTTTGATATGATTTAAATCAAGTTCCTCGTGGTCATTATAATTCGCTTCGGATAGTGAAGAAAGTGACCCAGAGGTTATTGAAAACGAAAACATTTCGAGGTATTCTCAACACAGCAATTATAGGACATGAACAGCGGAACTTTGTAACTAAACAAGAAATTATGTCTGTTTAAAAGAATTAAAGAGAAAGTATTATCACATGAAACGAAGCAACTTACATTGAAGGAAATGTTTAATAAAGTAAACAAATAAATATTAAGCTTTTTCTTTTTGTAAATTTTGATACCCTTTAGATCATAATTGTTCTTTATTTCATAAATTACGGTTTCATATTTTTAATTTTGTAATTTCTGCATGCCATCTTACCAGATTTAAACTGATGATCTATAATCCGGAATCGCCGAAGTCCCGACGAGTCCGGATTAACGACTTTTGACTGTAATATATTTGTAGAAATAAATAAAAAATATCAGTTAGTTTAAAATTAGTTTTTGTAACCAATAAGAAGTAAATTTCTTTGCAGAAATAAGTAATGCTAAACTAAGGTTTTTTTCCCCTCCTACCAAGGTGAGTGCATTTTCCTTTTTTATTTGTCTATACTTGCCTTTGATGAATAATAAAATTTTAATTTTCTATAATGAAATACATCCATTTCCTTTTCATCTGACTAATATAAGCACAAAAATAATTTACTTTCATTTGAATGTGACATCATATTTATTATGCAATAATAAGGTTAATATTTTATTTCTTAACAAATTTGTTATCAATATTCACTCATTTCTATAGTTTTTTGCAGGGCTGTGGAGTCGGTAGGGTAAATGACCGATGACTCCTGAAATTTTAATATTTCTGACTCCGACTCCTTCATATATATGTAAACATATACACATGGGTACAGCTTATTTTTTTATTATAAAAAAAAGTAATATGTGCTACAGAAAAAAATGCATAGCAAATTTTTATATTAATTAGCATTTATTATGAAATGGAAAAACTGGCATTAGTAATTTCTAAGAAACGGTAAAACTTCGGCAATATCTTCTTTGCAGTTATGTATGTACAGATACTTACTTTTATATGTGCATTTTCATAATTTTAATGTAATTTAGATAATTATTGTCATATTTTTAATTTTCAGGGCCATACAATAGGCCATGCTTTAACTGGTGGTGGTGGAGCTGAGGCCCCAGTTGCGGCAGCAGCTCCGACTGCTCCATCCCCAGCTGCTCCGGCTCAAGGAGGCCAAACTAATGCATGCCAGTTTGAGTTCAAACAGTTTTTGGAGTGTACTCAAACCCAATCAGATATTAGTCTGTGTCAAGGTTTTAATGAAGTTTTTAGGCAATGTCAGCAAGCAAATGGTAAGTTATACAGCTTTATGCATAATGCAAGAGATCCATAATATGATCCTTTATGACCTCTCTAAAAGTTGCCAATCATTGGGAAGTAATTTTTTTCCAGCTTGAGACATAAATACAGTAGCCATATATATCTTGACGTACAGTGATATCTGGTATACGTCATTCATTTCGTGTGTCGTTAGGCTAAGACATATGCGAGAAGGCAAGAACTTTATTCAACGAACGTTGTGCATTATATTATTAGGTTTCTTAACTGCTGCAGTCGTGCCATGATTCTGTTTTATATGTTTTCCCCCGTCTTACTTGTATGTCAAGGGGTTAAAAAAATATTGCATCTAGCCTTTTTAGGTATAGTAGAACTGGAATCATTGAATTATAGCAAGGCATATTTTCACCTGCCTGGGAAGAAGAATTTCTGCATGGAAAACTTTCTGAAGAAAACAAGCTAGTACTCACATTACATATATGGGAAACTAGACAAATGCCTGTGCAGCCAGCCATCAGAATTTAAAGCCACGTTGAAATATCAACATACAGTAACCTTATCTACTCAGCAGTGTGGAGTAGGGTTTATCAGAAGTTCAGCCAAATTAACATCACGTACGCTCATGACTATGAGTTAAATATTTTAATATATATATACACACACAATTTGTATGTAAACTCCATAATACAAATAAATATTAGTTCAAAGGTAATTAATACTAACAACAGGACAACAGGGTTCATACGGTCCTTAAAAGTGCTTGGGTTTTTTGGAATCAATTTTTGGGCCTTAAAAGTGTAATTTCGTCCAAAATTGGCAGAAGGTCCTTAATTTTATTCATCTGAAATGTATTTTTATTACTGCCATTTGGAGTGTGAATTAGCATTTTTGGGAAATATTTTTGGTGATTCACTGACAAATATGGTTATCTTTTGAATGGGTTCATAGGTTATATTTGTTCTTATTATTTTAAATAGTGTATACTAGAGTTTCTGAGCAAAACAAGTGAAACTTTTCGAATACGTTTTGAAATTATTTCATTTTTTCTAATGAAGAGCTCTTTCTTTTCACTTTTGGGATGCGAGTTCTTTTATTAAACAGTTCTAAATTTAGTGACTTATGAACATTTTGGTGATTCTAAATTTAGTGACTTATGAACATTTTTGTGATTTTAAGATCAGTTTCTATAAAAAAATGTTAATTCCAAGATCTGCGAATTTTTCGACAATTTTTTTTAACATTATATCATTGATAAATCTTATTAAAGTAATGGTAATATATTGAAATTATAGTTAAAAAAATAACATTAAAATGTAACGTTTTTATTTTTCCGCATCGTATTATAAAGTTTCCATTTTGGCTACTTATTCTGCAATATTTTGAATCTGAAAAAGAAACAACGTATAGTGCTATAAAGCATAATTTATGAAACAGATCTTATCAATATAGCTATGTAATTAATTAAAAATGTAATTTTAATTTTTTCATGGTTAAACTTTTTCCCATATAGTTGTCTCATAATATCAGAATATGCATCAGTTTTCTGTATAAAATTAATTTTACACCTTTTTCCCTCTCTTTCTTTCTCTTCTTTTTTTTGGAGGGGGGTAAGCCCAAGGGGCATTAGCCCAGAATGGCTATTAATTCCATTTTGGCATTTTGCGTTGATTCACTATAAATGTCGGTTCACTTTTCAAATTGTTGCCACCAAATATTACAGCCCTGCATTGTATTTAAAGAAATTAAATAATGAAGAATCTTCATGAATGTATGTGTGTTTCTCATGCTGTGAAAAAATGACGGTACCTAGAGACATCAAATTTTCAATAAGTGTCCTCCATTAGAATATGGGCATCTGGCAGCCCGAACTTGGAATTTGTTTTATTATCTATATCGTATTTTTCAAATATTAAAGAATTTTGTTATTAACAAACTCAATGATTTCAAAGCGAGCAATGGCAACACTGTACGGAAAAAATCTGATGTGTACACCACATGACTTCCTTGTACGGAATATTAAATTATACGCATTTTTTCTTGCATTTTATTTAAACTTATTAGATTGAATTAACCTACTTCGCCGACAGCACATAAATCACAATAGAATAAATGCATTCTTTAAAATTCACTTTGTTTACCATAGCGACACTCTGGCGCTAAGTTTACTTAACAGTATTATATTTCGTTCATGTTATAACTCAGAATGCACAAAATTTATATCATTTAAAGAATTATCTAATCGTTGCCACATGTTCTATTCAAATACTATAATAAAGCTAGAACTATGTATAAAAGAAATTAAGCAAACGAAACAAAAAAGAAACAGTTTTCCACAGATGATTAAGTATTTCTCATTCACGCAACAAGGCAAAAATGCATAAAAACTCAAAATATCTGTATTAAAAATTACGAAGTAAATCTTAAACGCTTATTTCCTCGAAAAAATTCTAGAAAGGATTAAGCATGATTTTAATAAAAAATGAAGGCGTTATCTTTGTTGTTGCGAAGCTAAGTTTCTCTAGATTGGCAACAAATCCGCTACTCAGCTGTTTCAAATGTAAACAAGATCAATGGCTGCCATCAAATTAGGCTTAGCAGCACTTAAACAATTTTAAATTGTTGATAATTCTAAAAATATTGCATACAGATTTACTAAAGGCATAAAAACCTTAACTGGAAGATAAAAATAACATAATTCAATCATTTTTAAAGCAAAAAATGTACAATTTACAAACATATAAGAGTGAAGAAACTGAGATCACCGAGCCGGGTAACAGAGTGGATATATTTATAAATATATTTATATACGTTTGGTGCGCCCGATTGAAACCAAAATACAAGGTGCACATCTACGTCTTATATACAAAACTTCAATGTTCTGAGGCTACTCGTTTTTGAGTTATGCGAGATACGTTGGTACAGACGCCACGAAAAATTCTCTTGAGAATTCATTTTAAAGCTCTTTTTTTTTTTCAAGTCTTTTATTCTGTCCTTACGTACAGATATCACGCAAAAACATTGTTAAATTGCAATCGAAAGCTGTCAAAGTGGATATTTTCGTTGAAATATGCTGCGTGACAAGTTAGGAGATAAAGCACGCAGAAACTAGTGGGAAAGTTAGTTTGCGTATTAACCAAATTTTGAATTGTTAGAAAACATGCTTAAAGGGAAGGAAATCGATATAAATTAGCCAAAATGTCTGGGACAGCTTCAAATTTAAAAGGAGCATAAATATTTTGTTGAAGGTTGTTGCTACAAAACATTTGTTATGTTTGTAGCTTGTTGTAATATGTTATTAATGTAGTTTTGTATACTGTTATAAGTATATGGTTTTGTATCTTTTAATGTGTAATGTCTTAAGATAGTTTTAGAATCAATGTCATAAATTACATGTATTTTAAATTGTGAAAACTTATTAGATAGTGATTTTAATAATTTCTTAACAAATATTGTTAAAAAAATAAATAAAATTTAATAGCAGCCATGTATATTCATAATGATGAAGGTTATCTACCTAATTTAATTATTTATAACTGCTTACCCTTAAAAAATATCTCTGCCTTTTAAAGTGCGTTATTGCCTTTCATTAATCCTTACCGTGGTCCCAAGGTAAAACACAAAAATATAAAAATTCATGTGAAACTTATTTTTTGCATTTAGTGAGAATTAAAATAATACAAAACAAATTATCACCTCTGGTGCTTTAGTGGCTTTTTTAACCTTACCGACTCCTGGAATTTTAAAGATTCTGACTCCCTCATATATATATATGTAAACATATACACATGGGTTAGAGCTTATTTTTTTAATATAAAAGAATTGATGGCATAGCATATACTTTATATTAATTAGCATTTATTATGAAATCGAAAAACTGGCATTAGTAATTTCTAAGAAACAGTAAAACTTTGGCAAGATCCTCTTTGTTAGAAGACCATAGATCCGATTTGATAAACTTCAGATCTGAAAAGAGCTTTTCCACACTGACTTAAGTAGGAAGAAGAGCTGTTACTGTTAGGGCTCTACTTCCTTTAACTTTTTAGGATAGAAATTTATAAGTTCTAAAAGAGGTGTCTTGCAAGAGCAATCATATTTATCTCTTTCTTCAAAGGCTGTGTATAAATCTTGTTTGTATTTTTCATTTTTATATACACAGTCCAGTCACATTAATGTGACCATCTGTCAAAAGCCAGAATAACCACCTTTCGCAGAGCGGACTGCTGCGAGACGTGCAGGAAGAGAGTCACATAGGTCCCTGAAGGTGTTCTCTGGGATGTTGAGCCATGCCGACTCTAATGCCGTGGCCAGCTGCGCTAGATTACGCGATTGAGGATCCATGGCGCGAACAACTCGATCGAGATGGTCCCACAGATGCTCGATTGGGTTTAAGTCAGGGGAGGACGGTAACTCATCCTGGTGCTCTTCGAACCACGGACGTACACTGGCAGCTGTATGGCACCTCACATTGTCCTGCTGGAAGATGCCATCATCCTGAGGAAAAACAGTGTGCATGTAGGGGTGAACATGGTCCGCAAGGACAGATGCGTACTTGTATTGATCCATTGTGCCTTCCACAATGATCAGTGAACCTAGAGAATGCCAGGAAAACATTCCCCAGACCATAATGCTCCCGCCTCCAGCTTGGACCGTTCCGGCAATGGTTGCAGGGTGGTTCCTTTCAGAGGTTTCACGCCTTATACGCCAACGTCCATCTGTCCGATGGAGCATAAAACTCGATTCATCCGAAAACGCAACCTGTCGCCACTCAGTGGACGTCCAGCTGCTGTACTGGCGTGCAAATTCTAGCCTTCGCCGTCGATGAACAGCAGTCAGCATAGGTGCACGAACCAGGCGTCTGCTTCAGAGGCCCAGACGCAGCAATGTTCGCTGAATAGTACTTTGGGAGAAACTTTTGGTAGCCACTTAGTTCATTTTGGTGGTCAGTTGCTCAACGGTAGCCCGTCTATCTGCCCGAACGCATCTACGCAACCGTCGTTCGCCTCTGTCATCTATG